TCCTCTCTACCAGCTGTTTGGGAATACACAATTAATTGTTGTCAACCCCAGTTATTCTGTGCTATAACACAGGAGGACTCCTCCCATCCAGCTGCCTCTCTGAACGTATTCATCATCATCTCTCCAAGACCCCTCCCACTCCCCCACAGCCTTCTCAAGCTCTGGTAACCTCTATTTTATTCTCCACTTCGAGATCAACCTTTCAGATTCCACAGAGTGGGAACCCGTGGTATTTGTCTTCCTGTGCCTGACTTGTCTCATTTAACACAGTGTCCTCCCATTTCACCTGCATTGTTGTGAATTGTGTGTTTATTTTGTACCCAGCCACTTCCTAGTTTAGATACTTTTTGTTGGTTCTTATCCAGTTATCTAGGTAGACAGGCATATGATCTTATAAATAACAATAACTGTGTTTTCTCTTTGTTGAGTCTATTTCTTATTTCCGTTTTCCATTTTAGATTTGGGTTGGAATTTTTCTAGGATGCTTGAAATACTAGTGTTAATAAGTGGCATCTTGGGCCGGCCCTATGGCCAAGTAAAGCTGAGACCTGTGGCTCTGGCACTTACAGTCCAGCTCACTGCTAATGACCTGGGAAAGCAATGGCAGAAGTTCCTGGCTCCTGGCTTCGGATCAGCCCATTTGGAGAGTGAACCAGAAGATAGAAGATATCTCTCTCTGTCTCTCTCTCTAACTCTTCCTTTCAAATAAATAAATAAATCTTTAAAAAAAGTTCCTGGGAGAAGTTTTAAAAAAGAATAATAAGTGGCATTTTTTCCCTTTTTAAAGTGTATTTGAAAGGCAGAGTTTCAGAGAAAGAAGGAGAGAGAGAGAGAGCGAGCTTCCTCCAGGTCTCCCACATGGGTACAGGGGCCCAAGCATTTGGGCCATCTTCCACTGCTTTCCCAGGTACATTAGCAGGGAACTGGATTGGAAGTGGAGCAGCCAGGACTCAAACCAGCACCCATACGGGATGCCGGTGTTGAGGGAGATGGCTTAACCTACTATGGCTTAACACTGACCCTAATAAGTGGCATTCTAAATTATAATATATTCCTTAGTTCATTTTATGAAACAAATGATGAATATTGCATATGTCTTTGAAACCATTTTGAACTAAATTCATTCATCAAGATATGTGCTCAGTGGCAGTGCTGAACCTCAGCTGGTAATTTGACAAGGAATTATGGAAATAAAGCTAAACATCTGAGTTAGGGAAGTGGAATACGCTCAAATGTCCTGTTTAGAGCTCACACCTCATCCATTGTCTCCTGTTTGTAAGATGATGAAAGCCTAACAAAATGGAGAAATGTTTGTTCTCCTGCTGTGCTAAAAGTGTGATAGAACGCCTTTTTCTGAGAGCTGAAGGCAGCTCAATTTGTATATTCTGAACTTAGTTGAGCGTCTTAGCTAACCCTTCCCAGTAGGTGGAAGAATGTTATAGCTGCCTAGGCTGCTTCAAAATTAAATGAAAGAGCAATAATTATGAAATTAGGAAGGAATAATTCCATTGCAAAAAGTAAATTAGGAAAACAACCACACTACCCCGAGAGAAATTGTCATTAAAACAAAATCACAGGAGGACCTCTGGTGCGGTTGCTACCAGGACCGAGTGAAAAGATGCTATTTTGAAATCATTGTGTAAATGCAGAGGGCCTGTCATTTCCACTCATTCCATTCGTTGTAATTTTCCCCTGACAGTAATAGCTCTCATGTGTGATTTTTACCTGCTTAGATTTTTAATGTGCAGAACTTGCCCTGTGGGAAAATGAAGTCCTTTCACAAGGCCAGGTTCTGGGACTGCCGTGCAGACTTGCCTGTGTAACTGACCTCCCGGGAAAGGCCCACCGAGTCCACCCCAGGGACAGGTGGCTCAGCCAGCAGCATTAGTGTTCTGAGGGTCAACTGGATTGACTCCCACAAAGGAAAAGCATGTGGGATAGGCTGATGTGTTCAGGTGTACCATGGAGTTTGCGGAAGTGATTTATAAATGACTCCTGTTTCCCGGCATCCTGACACTTTCTTGCCACTTGCAGTTTTGTTTGTCAGCGTTAAACTGATGTACTCCCATCCTGTTACAGTAAGTTCCCCATGATGTCAGTAGTATTGAGAGCCAGTATGTATTGATGGGTTGTAGTGTGCCAGGCACTGTTTTAAGTGTGTCACAAAAATTTATCAAGATTTAAGTTATTCTTGAATATATAGGTTTTTAAGTTTTAGATAAATGTGCCAGAGTAAAGTTCTCCTGCTTCTCAAGCCAGGTGACTTACTGATGAAGTGGGATAATTCACTGACATCCGCCCTGCCCCTGTTATCTCTCTGTCATTCTGTGGTTTTAGGAAAAAGAAGGGACAGGGTAATTGGATAATCCTGAGCCTTTGGGGTGGGCATTTGTTGCTGCTTGGAAGGCGTGCATCCCATCCATCTCAGTGCCTGGGTTGGAGTTCTAGCTCGTCTGTTGATTCCAACAGCCTTGTTAATGTGCACCATCAGGCTCAAGTCCCTGGGCCCCTGCCACCCACATGGGAGACCTAGAGGATGCAGTTCAGGCTCCTGGCTCAGCTTGGCCCAGCCCTGGTTGTTGTGGACATTTAAGGAGTGAATCAGTGGATGGAAAATCAGTCATTCAGTCTCTCTCCCTCTACCCTTCCCCCTCTCCCTCCCTCTGTGTGTGTGTGTGTGTGTATGCCCTTCAAATAAAATGAAAAATATTTTTTTAAAAAAGATAAAAGCTGTTAAAAGAAGAGTTTAAATACCCTTCTTCAACCACCAATTCAGCTAACCTTTAAAGAGGTGCGCATAAATCTGAATGAATGAGAAGAATGAATAATGGTGCCTTAGGTTTACTGAATACCTGCTGTGTAGCAGACACTGTGCCAAGTGGTCTGTATTTTCTCAGAATTCCATGCTGTACCAAGGAAGTCATCAGAAAGATTTCTTAGATATTAGCTTCCCTGTGTTCATTTGAAATATTCTGTTGGCTACGAACAGTAGCAATAATAATAAGAGTTTGCTTGCTGTTTCAGAACAGTTGTTATATTAATCCAAGACTCCAGTCTAGAGTCACTGGAGTCATACCCTTAATAACAGACCACTGTGGACAGACAACAGACCTCTCAATGCCTTTCTGAGCCACCCTCATCTCCAGTGCCTTTGCCTTTTCCTAAATGTCTGTGGCGTAGAATTTCACATTTAATTATATGGTGCCTCACGTTCTCTATTATCCTAGTAAAGGCTTTATGTCTGGCTAAATAGATTCTAAACTCAGGAGTATCATCTATTACTTTTATGTTTCTACCAGCCTGAGCACAATACTAATTATTAATTATTTGCTTAATAAATTATTCTGAAATAAATGAGTTAATGAATAAATGAACAGGCTTTAAATTGTCATTGTCCACTTCAAGATTTAGAAGATTTCAAAAAACAATTTTTGTTGTTCCTTTTTTGTTTGCTTTTAACCTAAAGCAGTGCTTTTCAAACTTTTGATCTCATGATCCCTTTACACTTAAAAATTATTGAGTACTCCAATGAGATTTTGCTGATATGGATTGTATCTTGTGATACTTACCATATTAGAAACAAAATGGGAACTGGCATTATGGCGTGGCAAGTTAAGCCACCACCTGCAATACCTACATTCCACATGTGTGCCAGTTCATGTCTTGGCTACTCTGCTTCTGATTTGGCTCCCTGCTAATGTGCCTAGGAAAGCGGCAGAAGAAGGCCGAAGTGCTTGGGCCCCTGCCACCAACATGGGAGACCCAGATGAAACTCCTGGCTTTGGCCTGGCATAGCCCTGGCTGTTGTAGCCACTTGGAGTGAACCAGCAGGTGGAAGATTTCTCTCTCTCTCTCTCTCTCTCTAACTCTGCTTTTCAAATAAATGAATAAATCTTAAAAAAAAAAAAAAAAGGCAAAATGGGGTGGGAGTACTTGTTAAGATACCTGTTGGGCTGTTGGGACACCTGCATCTCATATCAGAGTACCTGGGTTCAAGTCCTAGCTTCATTTCACTTTCCCATCGTGTGCATCATAGTAGACAGCAGTAATCGTTCCAGTAATTGGGTCTCTGCCACCCATGTGTGGGAGACTCTAATTGAGTTCCCAGCTCCTGGCTTCAACCTGGCCCAGTCCCTGCTGTTGCTGGCATTTGAAGTATGAACCAGAGGCTAGGTGATCTCTATCTGTTTCTGTCTCTTCGCCTTTTAAGTAAATAAAATAATTTTAAAAGATGAAAATGAGGTGTTTTAAACACAAGAACCTAAGCACATGTTCCACCATCTGTCAGAGCAGTGACATCAGCACAGGTCATGTAGCCTCTGGAGAACTGCATGGTGTCCTGGGGTGAGAATGAGAGCAGAAAAGGCACAGTGCCTTTGTATTATTATGAAAATAGTTTGGACCTCACAGGTCCCCTGAAAGGATCTTGGAGAATTGATGATCTAAAGTATTCCACTGGGTTACTAAATTGGGCTGCAATAAATAAGTTGAACCATTATATATTTGAGAAATGTAGAGGGAGAGAGACAAAGCTCCCACCACTGATTCACACCCCAAATACCCACAATGGTGGGGGTGGGGAGTGCCCAAAACCGGGAGCCACAAACAGTTCAGGTGTCCCACATGGGTGGCAGGAACCCGATTGCTTGAGTTATCACCACAGTCTCCCAGGGTTCACATTAGCAGGAAGCTGGAGTCTGGAACCCAAGTCAGAAGCCTAACCCAGGCACTGTGATATGAAATCTGGGACATGGGTATCCTAACCAGAGTTCTAACCAGATACCTGCCCCATACATTGTGTTGTCTTGCATTTATGTTTAATCTTGACTACTGTAAGTATTGTAAATAGTTCTAATTATATAGCATGTACAAAATAAAATTTTATTTCTTGTTAAATATTAGTTAACTCTCTTGATTGAAATTAATCTTCTTTTAAAAAACAGCAATACTTAGAAACCATGTTCACAGCATGTTGAAAGTTGCCTTCTCTTGCATTGCAGCTCCGCAGTTTGAAACTACATGTAGTTACGTAGATGCCACACTCGAAGAGTTCCTGACTTGGAACTGTGAACAGTCTAGTCTTTCTGGACCGTTTGCAGACTACGATCACTCCAAATTCTGGGCTTATGCTGACTATAAGTATTTTGTCAATCTATTTGAAGATAAGACGGATGTTTTCCAGGTAAGTCCGTATATAGTCCTCTTAATCTCGGTGAGAATTTGTTCTTGAGAAAAGTTCACAAGCGAGAGTCTCCCCGGTCCCTTCTCCCCTCACTGCCTTTGGCTTATGTAAGTAGTTGCTTACGTAAGTAGTCTGGGCTGTTTTTCCCTCTGAAGCCAAGTTAGCGTCTGTGGCTCACCCAGTTGGCAACCCTTGCTCATTTCCTGGCCCCAGACTTCCCACACACCCTTCCTTTGCTCTTGACCAGTGCCTGGGCCGGTTTAGAGTGTAGTAGAAGCATAGCTAGTGGAGTGACGTCATTTCCTCCCGCCCTACATAGGGGCTCTCGTTCTGTGGGTGAGGCAGGTAGAGGTGCAGAGGTGCTCACAGGAGGAAGCTGTCTCTGAGGTTCCCAGGGCCAGCCTTGTCATCTCTGTAGCTCTGGGGGCGTGGTGCAGCCATGGGCTTGTGGGACAGAGAATGCTGGGCTCCAGGCTCGCGGAGGTAGAAGCCCCATAGCTGCGTGCAGCGACTTGCAGAGGGAAGAATGTGGAAGTTCTCTGCCTCGTGTTCACGTAACTGACAACAGTTTGCAGACTGCCAGATCCTCTTTTAAGTGTTTCGCTTCGTTTTGTTTGTAACCTCAAACTGACAAAGTGGGGTGTTTTTGCAAGCTCCTTGCTGTGGGTTCCACAAAGGGGAAGGAGGGTGCTTGGGGGACTTTGCCTCCAGTCAGGCCAAGGCCCCAGAGCCCTTTGTCTTGCCCTGTCCTGTCCTGGAGTGGTTTCGCCATGCTGCCTGCTGCCACAGGGGTCCCAGAGGAGTTCTCCCTTCAGCCTGCCTTCTTCTTTTGTACTTTGAGTCAAAGTGTAGATGGCAGTGTTCACGTAGCAATCATAACTACCACTGTTTTGTAGCTTCCCTTTATTACATATTTTGGTAAATGTTTGCTCAGATTTTACTATTTATTAAAATGTTGGTTGAGGGTGTCTTTTTATTCTCACAGCCATGAAAGAAATGTGTTGGCTTTGCAAGCATTAGGAAATGCCTCTAATTCCAAACTCCATACCAAATGCATTATTTTCTCCCTTTTTTGCTTGGGTTTTGGAGGCGGTTTTTCCTGCCACCCTTAGTTGTGATCTCAGTCTTTACCCCTGCTGCTTGGAGAGCTCAGAGTTCACTCCTAGAGGATTTGCTATGTTTCTCCTACTCCCACCCGTGATGGAGATTAGTTAGTACATTTTTGCTCCCTATTTCAGGCAAAACATTGCTTGATAGTAATATATTGATCTGTATCTCTATATTAATGTATATGTGCACCACTTGAGATATATATAGGTATATAAACACACACAAACACATACATTCATATAAGTACTTGTTCCTAGCACTTTTGTAATGCTTATATTTACAGACTGTAGAGTAACACTGTGACTTAATGATTACCCTCTTAAGAAAAGCGAGGCACAAAGAAGTTACGTAAGCGTTTTCTAAGATGATACAACCGAGCCGCGGGCGGCGTAATGCAGGTGGCCTGCCGACAGAGCTTCCAGTACTGCCGTGCCGGCAGCGTCTGGTGCAGACCCGCGGGCGCTCTGCAGATAGGACTAAAGACCGCCATCTCTGCTGTGTCCAGGTTCCTTCTGCCTTGCATAGATCTCTCACCTGACCCCGTCGTTGATCTGTCCCATCCGGGCATGGCAGCACTAGGCAAGACATATGACCTGTCCAGCAAGAGCGCTTGTAAATAAAGGCAGCCTTTTGGTAGTGTGCTGGAATTCTAATGGAGCCCTCGGAAAATCTCGTGTTTTCAGCTGGGTGAGTTTTCTGTCAGCTCACGCTAGCAGTTAGTCCTGCTGTGAGCAGCCAAGGCCGCTCATGCTGCATCATCTTCCATCCAGGGTTTTTCTGAGCATCCAGTCTTCTTACATCATAAGAGCTAAGCTGTTGTTTTCCTCTTACCATTATAATTCCTGTAGTCATCAAATCTTACTAATTACTGTTGCAAACTTTTTTTTTTTTAAGATTTATTTATTTATTTGAAAGGCAGAGTTACAGAGAGGAAGAGACAGAAAGAGAGCGAGAGAGAGAGAGAGACCTTCCATCTGCTGATTCACTCCCCAAATGGCTGCAACGGCTAGGGCTGGGCCAGTCCAGGAGCCAGGAGCTTCTTTGGGTCTCCCGTGTGGGTTCAGGGCCCCAAGCACTTGGGCCATCTTCTGCTGCTTTACCAAGCATGTTAGCAGGGGAGTTGGACTGGAAACAGAACAGCTAGGACGTGAACCGACGTCCATCCGGGACGCCAGTGTCACAGGTGGCAGCTTTACTCATTATCCCACAGCACCAGCCCCTGTTGCAAGCTTAGTACCTCTGCCTTAAAATGGCGGGGTAGTTAAACATTAAAGATGCTCCGTTTCCAAAATATCTATTTAAAATAATCTTATTTAACATAAATAACATTTTTTAAGAAATAAGCGTCTTTGAGGAGTGGATTGTTTGACATTTTCGCAAGGCTGACTGTCGAAGACAGCTGAGTTCTCATCTCTGCTTCTCCATTCAAGCTGTTGCAATTTGTTGGTTTGTTTGAAGAATAGGAAGAAAATCTTGCCTCACAGATGTGTGCAGCTGGAAAATGAAGAAGTGTTTTAACAGTCTTCATACAATCGTGGATTTTTTTCTCTTACACTGCAGCAGTCTTAACAGGCATAGTTCCGTTTTGCTTTTTGTTTTTAAAAGAATAAAATTTTTATTTACTTTGAGTTTCTCTTATGATTTAAGATAATAACTAAGCTGACTTTTTAATTTTTTTAAGATTTCTTTTATTTATTTCAAAGAGTGACAGAGAGACAGAGAAAGAGAGAGAGAGAGAGAGATCCTCCATCTGCTGGTTCCCTCCCAAATGGCCACAACAGCCGGGGTTGGGCCAGGCGGAAGCCAGGAGTCAGGAGCTTCATCTGTGTCTCTCACGTGGGTGTCAGGGACCCAAGCACATGGCCATCATTGCCACTTCTGTGGCATTAGCAGGGAGCTGGATTGGAAGCAGAATAGACGAGACTGAAATCAGAACACTGATATGGGATGCAGGCATTGCAAACAGTGCGTAATCTGCTGTGTCGTAACACCAGCCCTCAGATGCACGTATTTCAACATAAGAGTTTCCAAGCTCATTTTTATTCTTTTGAAAGCATTTTCTCATTTCCCTTGTGACTTATTCTTTAACTTACTGAGTATTTAGAAGAGCAATGTTTAATTTCCAAAAACTTGAGTATTTTCCAGCTATCTTTCTTCTATTGGTTTCTGATTTAATTCCATTGTGGTCAGATCTTATGTAATTTCAGTGCTTTTAAATTCATTGAAATTCATTTTATGACCCAGAATGTAGACAGCCTTGATAAATGTCCTACATACACTGGATAATAATGTGTATTCTCTTGTTGGGTGGAGTGTGTAAGTATCAGCTGAGTCAGTTGATTGTTGTATCTCCTGTGTCCGTAACTGATTTTCTGTGTGTTTTCTCTCTGCAGTATTTAGAGAGAGGTACTGAAGTCCCCCGATAATAATTGTGTATTTGTCTTTTTCTCAATTTAGGTTGGTCCATTTCCTTTTTCTTTCTTTCCTTTTTTTTAAGATTATTTATTTAGGGGCCGGCGCTGTGACACAGTGGGTTAAAGCCCTGGCCTGAAGCACCGGCATCCCATATGGGCGCCGGTTCGAGACCCGGCTGCTACTCTTCTGATCCAGCTCTCTGCTGTGGCCTGGGAAAGCAGTGGAAGATGGCCCAAGTCCTTGGGCCCCTGCACCTCTGTGGGAGACCTGGAAGAAGCTCCTGGCTCCTGGCTTCAGATCGGCGCAGCTCCGGCCGTTGCAGCCATCTGGCAATTGAATCAACGGATGGAGGACCTCTCTCTGTCTTTACCTCTCTCTGTAACTCTGTCTTTCAAATAAATAAAATAAATCTTAAAAAAAAAAAGATTATTTATTTATTAAAAGGCAGAGTGACAGAAAAAGAGGGAGAGACAGAGAGAGAGAGATCTTTCATCCACTGATTCTCTCCACAAATGGCCACTACAGCCAGGTCTGGGCCAGGCTGAAACCAGGCGACAGGAACTCCAGCCAGATATCCCACATGGGTAACAGGGGCCCAAGCACTTGGACCATCCTCTGCTGCTTTCCTAGGTGGGTTAGCAGGACACTGGACCAGAAGCAGAGTAGCCAGGACTTGAAGCTGCACTCTGATATGGGATGCTGGGGTGGCAAACGGCGGCTTAATCCACTGTGCCACGACTTTGGCCCTCTGCATTTTGAAACTTAATATTAGGTTCATACACGTTTAGGGTTATCGTGTCCTCTTGAAAAATTGACTTTTTATCATGATGAAATGACTGTGGGGCAAGTATTTGCCATGGGGTCTTCCTGTTTTGATGTTTACTTTGTCTGAGATCTACTTGGTTTAGTTTGTTGTAGATTAGTTAGTATGAGAAAGGAATAGTTACTCTATGATTCCATTGCTTTAAAATTCTGGAACTTGGAAACGAATTTGTTGTGGCAGAAAGCAGAGCAGTTGTCAGAATGAGGGTGTAGGGAGAAATGGTTTGTGAAGGAACATTGGGAAACTTGCACATGATCGAGTTGTTGGTCGTATGTGTGGTAGCAATAGTTCCTTGGATATATGCATAAGTCAATATTCGTCAGCTGCACACCTTAAATTTTGCTGTTTATCGTACATCAGTTATACTCAGTAAAGCTGTTAAAGAGCAAAAGAATAGCAGCAGGCATTTGGCATGGTGATTAAGATGTGCTTGGAGTAGGGGCTGACACTGTGGTAATGGGTTTAAGGGTGAAGCCACCATCTGCAATGCTGGCATCCCGTATGGGTACTGGTTTGAGTCTCTGCTGCTCTGCCTCCAATCCAGTTCCCTGCTAATGTGCCTGGGAAAGCAGCGGAGAATGGCCCAAGTCCTCGGACCCCTGCACCCATGTGGGAAACCTGGATGAAGGTCCTGGCTCCTGGCTTTAGTCTGGCCCGGCCCTGACCATTGCGACCATTTGGGGAGTGAACCAGTGCATGGAAGACTTCTCTCTTCTCTCTCTGTCTCTGCCTCTCCCTTTCTGTAACACCTCTCTCTTGGTAACTCTGCTTTACAAATAAATAAATAATTTTTTTTAAGAAAAAAGAATGTAGGTGTTTATCTGGCCCAATCAGTGGGTAGAGTTAATTACCTCATTTCTGATTATGTACCTAAGGTAATTTCCTCAAAAAAATAAGAGACTCAAGTACTTGCTATTGTTTAATGTCCTTTTAAGGGACTTTTTGAAATTTAAATTGAAGTAGTTATCCATTATAAGTTTTTATAGTAATTATAGTTAATTATATTGCTTTCAAGTACCACATTTATTGTTTCTGACCAATATTGGGTTTTTCTCCTACTCTTTTTGGAGTTTCCAGCCTTATCAGCGTATCAGATGTTGTCAGTAGGTATATGATGATTTAAATAGATGTAGTATAGAGTGGTTCTCAACTTTCTTTATGATCCTGAAATGCAATTTCTAGATGATATAATTATCTCCACATGTAATTTTTTAAAAACATTAAAATGCCTTACCTGTAATGTAAAGGAGAATTTTAAAGGCAGTAACTTAAAATAAAATCACATATATTTTAATGTGTAAGTGTATCATTTGGTACACGATTAAGCTGACCTCTAAAAACTAATGTATCAAGTCCAGTACTGTGATGTAGCCTGTGACTATGATATCCCATATGGGCAACAGTTCATGTCCCGGCTGCTGCACTTCTGATCCAGCTCTCTGTTAATGGCCTGGGAAAGTGGCGGGGGATGGCCCAGGTTCTTGGACCCCTGCCACCCACATGAAAGACCCTAAGGAAGCTCCTGGCCCCTGGCTTCAGCCTGCCGTTGTGACCACCTGGGCAGCGAGCTAGCAGTTGGAAGATATCTCTCTTCCTCTCTCTGTAATTCTATCTTTCAAATAATTAGGTAAATCTTTGTTTAAAAAAATGTAAAAACTAGTACATCATCTTTTTTTTTTTTTTTTTTGACAGGCAGAGTGGACAGTGTGAGAGAGAGAGACAGAGAGAAAGGTCTTCCTTTGCCGTTGGTTCACCCTCCAATGGCCGCCGCGGCCGACGCGCTGCGGCTGGCGCACCGCACTGATCCGATGGCAGGAGCCAGGAGCCAGGTGCTTTTCCTGGTCTCCCATGGGGTGCAGGACCCAAGCACCTGGGCCATCCTCCACTGCACTCCCTGGCCACAGCAGAGAGCTGGCCTGGAAGAGGGACAACCGGGACAGAATCCGGCGCCCCGACCGGGACTAGAACCCGGTGTGCCGGCACCGCTAGGCGGAGGATTAGCCTAGTGAGCCGCGGCGCCAGCCCATCATCCTTTTTTTTTTTAAGATTTATTTATTTATTTATTTTAAAGTCAGAGTTATAGAGAGAGGAGAGGCAGAGAGAGAGAAAGAGAGAGAGGTCTTCCATCCGATGGTTCACTCCCCAATTGGCCACAACAGCCAAAGCTGTGCCAGTCTGAAGCCAGGAGCTTACTCCGGGTCTCCCACATGAGTGCAAGGGCCCAAGGACTTGGGCCATCCTCTGCTGCATTCCGAGGCCATAGCAGAGAGCTGGATCGGAAAAGAAGCAGCACCCATATGGGATGCCAGTGCTTCAGGCCAGGATGTTAACCCACTGCACCACAGCACCGGCCCCTACATCATCCTTTTTAATTGATGCCACTTTCAGATGAGTCCAGAAACCAGGGCCATCCTGGTGCACACTATAGTCAGGGTGTCCTGATGCTACAAAAAGAAAATTCAGGGGGCCAGTGTTAAGCCATCGGCTGTGACACTGGCATACCATATCACAGTGTAAGTTTTGAGTCCTGGCTGCTCCACTTCCGATCCAGCTCTCTGCTAATGTGCCTGGAAAGGCAGTGGAAGATGGCCCAAGTCCTTGGGCCCCTGCCACCTATGTGGGAGACCCAGATGGACCGGATGGAGTTCCAGGCTCCTGGTTGGTTGTTTTTTTGTTTGTTGTTGTTGTTGTTTTTTGACAGGCAGAGTGGACAGTGAGAGAGAGAGAGACAAAGAGAAAAGTCTTCCTTTGCCATTGGTTCACCCTCCAATGGCTGCTGCGGCCGGCACGCTGTGCTGATCCAATGGCGGGAGCCAGGTACTTATCCTGGTCTCCCATGGGGTGCAGGGCCCAAGCATTTGGGCCATCCTCCACTGCACTCCCTGGCCACAGCAGAGAGCTGGGCTGGAAGAGGGGCAACTGGGACAGAATCCGGCGCCCCGACCAGGGCTAGAACCCAGGTTGCCGGCGCCGCAAGGTGGAGGATTAGCCTATTGAGCCACGGCGCCAGCCAGGCTCCTGGTTTTGACCTGGCCCAGTCCTGGCAGTTGTAACCACTTACGGAGTAAACCAGTAGATAGAAGATTAATCTGTCTTTCTGTATCTCTCATTCTGCCTTTCAAATAAATAAAAATAAATCTTTTAAAATTTTTTTGTGAAAAGGAAAATTCATGATTAAAAAAAATAAAGCAACACTTTCTTTTTCTTTTCCAGCTGAGAAGTGTTTTAATCCCATGGATTTGGTTTTATGATTGACCTGGTTAGTGCTGCAAGTGGCACTAAAGATCTGTAAATACAGACTTTTCCCAGTAGCTGACTTGGGCAGGATCTGTCTACAGAACCAGGTGTGAGGAAGGTTCCAGTGCAGAGCCTTGTGCTGCCTCTGTTCTCAGGTGTGCTACACTCAACAAGATCATGGTTTTGGGGAGTATAGCAAAAGTCAGCTTTGGACATGCACTGCAAAAGGTGGGTTTTGATACCTGCACCTGGAGATTCTGACTTACTAGGTGCGAGCTGAAGTTCTGGCATTGATAATTTTAAATTAAAAAAATAATAACAATTTGACAGGCAGAGGGAAAGAGCTCCTGTCTGCTAGCAGTTCACTCTCCAGATGCCCTCAATGTTCAGGGCTGGGCCCAAGGCCTGAGCTGGGAGTCAGGAACTCAGCCCAGGTCACCCACGTGGGTTGCAGGAACTCAGTCAGTTGAGCCATCATTGATGCCTCCCAGGATCTGCATTAGTGGAAAGTTGAATTAGGAGCTAGAGACGGGAATCAAACCCCGGCACTCTGATATGGGGTGACAGTATCTTAACTGGTGTCTTGTGTGTGTGTGTGTGTGTGTGTGTGTTTAAGATTGATTCATTTAAATGGCAGAGGGGGAGATATAGAGAGGTTTTTTTTTTTAAGATTTTATTTTATTTATATGAGAGGTAGAGTTACAGAGAGAGGGGGGGGAGAGAGAGAGAGGTCTTCCATTTAGTGGTTCACTCCTCAAATGGCCTCAATGGCTGGAGCTGGGCTGATCCAAAGCCAGGAGCTAAGAGCTTCCTCTGGGTCTCCCACACAGGTGCAGGGGCCCAAGCACTTGCGCTATCTTCTACTGCTTTCCCAGGCCATAGCAGAGAGCTGGATTGGAAGAGGAGCAGCCAGGACACAAACCGACACCCATACAGGATGCTGGTGCCACAGGCGGAGGCTTAGCCCACTATGCCACAGAACCAGCCCCTGAGAGGTTTCTTCCATCCAGTGGTTCATTCCTTAAATGGCTGCAATGACTGGGGCTGGGCCAAGCCAAAGCTAAGAGCCAGAAACTCCGTCTAGGTCTCCCATGTGGGTTGCAGGGGCCCAACCACTTATCTTCTACTGCTTTCCAATGCACATTAGCAGGGAAGTGAATCAAAAGTGGTGCATCTTGGACATGAACCAGCACCTGGATGGGATATTGGCAATGCAGGTGGTAGCTCAACCCACTGATCCACAACACCAGCCCCTTAACTAGCATTTTCCCAGCTATGCCAAACACCTGCCCTATGGAATTGGTAATTTTAAATAACTCCCTAATTCACAAGAAGGCATTTTTAATGTCATTGTAGTACAAAAAGTTAATGAGTTGCTTTATGCCCACAAACAGCTGCACTGCTCACAGGGAATATGGCCTTCTGACTTCTGCAGATGCCAGATCCAGAGATTTTAAAATAGCACTCACTATTCCCACAGTGCCTGAAACACCCTTCCCGTGATGTCTGCATAGTCTTGTCTGGTGTTTGTTGTCTGTCTCCAGCCTTGAAAGTGTAAGCTCCATCTGGATGGGCATTTTTTGTCTGTTTAGTTCATTGACTCATGCCAAGCTTCTAGTACAGTTGCCGGCGTGTTGTAAGTAGCTGGTAAATATTTTGTGAATGACTATTAGTGAGCTTATTTGACTGTTATTGGTCCAAAAGATTTCTTGAACCGCTTTGGAAATGTTACCGCCTCCATCTGTAGAATTTTCTATAAGAGAAAATTCCAAGTCCTAAGAAACAGATGTGCAAGTGGGAATGTCCAGCACTGCCGCACAGCAGAGTTGGTTGGTTCTTGATGGACTGACTCTTTCAAAACAGGAGGTGATGTGGTCTGACTTTGGGTTTCCTGGAAGAAATGGACAGGAAAGCACCTTGTGGATTGGCTCACTGGGAGCCCACACACCCTGCCATCTGGACTCCTATGGTTGCAACTTAGTATTCCAGGTACAAGGAAGGTAATGTGAGTGCATGGGTGGAGGAGGTGTGAGGGGAGAACCGGAAGAGAAATGAGTGCTGGGTGGGTGGCAGGACCCACAGCCTTGCTCCACTGCTCCTGGCCGCCTGCCTCCTCACCAGGGCAGACTCTTAACTGCTGGTTCTGTTGTGACATGAGGGCAGCAGTTGAAATGGTTTCCATGCATGAATCTCAGCCATGATCAAAGTCATCTTCAGAAAGCTGATCCCACAATACTGGGATTCCAGCCCCAGTTCAACAAAAGAGCTCTTTGCTTAGCTATTTTTATATCAAAACACAGATTTGTGTGCTGGCCACTGCCTGCAACACCAGTATCCAATGTGAGCCCCAGTTTGTGTCCCGGCTGCTCCACCTCTGATCCAGCAGAAGATGGCCTGAGTGCATGGGCCCCTGCTACCCACATCAGAGACCCGGATGGAGTTCTTGGCTCCTGGTTTTGGCCTGGCTCAGCTCTGGCTGTTGTAGCCTTTGGGTAGTGAATCAGTAGATGGAAGATATCTCTCTCTCGCTCTTGCTGTCTGTAGCTCTGACTTTTATGTAAGTAAATAAATAAATCTTAAAACATACACACATGTAGTTTTTGGACTTCTATTTAAAAGCAGGATCACCTGTCCTGAAATATAAAGAGCAGAATAGCTTGTTAGAAGGAGGAGGCTCTGTGGTCACTCCAAAGCCCCAGAAAAAATCCTGGACCGGGTGTTATTTGTCATGTCTTTCAGCTCTGAATTTTAGTTTGCGCCTACTTGTGGGCAAAGTACAGTTAGTTCTTACCTTTGGGCAGTGTTTTTCTCCCCTGTCTGTGGATCCTAAGAGAGAGAAGAGCTAGCTCGGGCCACACCTCCACTATTGCCTGGGTGCTGGAGTTAGGTGGGAGCTGAAGCGTCCGTGCCAGCTGGAGGATGCACTGAGATGTCGCAGGCACAGCCTTGTTGTCCCCTCATCGATGATGCCACAGTGTGCTGTCCTGGCCACTGGGGACATTTACAGGGCAGCACAGGAGGGAAAACAGAGATGGCCGCGTGCAGGTCCCCGAAGCCGTTACCCGCCGAAAGGACCGCGAGTGGTTCCCAGAGCCACTGGCGCTGTGCAGTGAGCGCGTTTCCCGGGTGCCGTGCTCTGCAGGCTGTGCAGTCCGGTAAGGCAGGCACCTGTGTGACTCAGCAGGGCTCTGTTAAAGGGCCGTGAGCGGCTCAGACACATCGCTGCAGGCCACGAGGCACGCGTGCGTGGTCTCTGCCCTATGGACCTCATAGTCTGAAAGCTGAAACTTGGTCAGAGAGGGCGTAGTTTTAAGTAGCCACTTTCTCCATGTGTTCCAAGTTGGGAAAAAGCCAAAGAAATTCGAGTTGGCAAAAAAAAAAAAAAAAAAATGGCCAGAAAAACCCAGCTTCTTTCGCTGATAAAAAGTTGACGTAGCTCTATTTGAGCGCTGTTTCCTGTTTTCTGGCCCGCATGGCTCTGTGTAGTGGAATCACTGCAGTGAATACACAGTGCGCGTGCTTCGGTGTTGCAGGAGGTGGAGAGTGAACGTCCCTGAGACTTCACAGCCCGGGCGCAGGCGGGCGCCGCCATCGCCCTGCCCCGAGCCTCTGGAGAAGACAGCGCGTTCCTGTTGTGACCACTGGGGAGGATCTCCTAGGGCAGCTGCCGTTTGCAGTGGGCTCTGACAGACGGCTCAGTGTTCAGGAGACACAAATGGAGGCTGTGGAGAGGCCCTGGGAAGTGTGGGGGTACACAGGGGAGCCTGCAAGTGTAGGTTGTACACTGAGGACCAAGGGGACTCACAGGCAAACACTGCTTTTCTTTTCTTTTCTTTTTTTTTTTTAAGATTTATTTGTTTGAAAGAGTTACAGAGAGACAGAGATAAAGAGAGAGAAAGATCTTCCATCCACTTCCCAAAATGGCCGCAGTGGGCCTATCGAAAGCCAGGGGTCAGGAGATAGGAGATTCTTCCAGGTCTCCCCTGCTGGTGCAGGGGCCCAAGCAGTTGGGCCATCTTCTGCTTTCCCAGGCCATAGCAGAGAGCTGGATCGGAAGTGGAGCAGCTGGGAGTTGAACCAGTGCCCATATGGGATGCCAGCACTGCAGGTGGCAGCTTTACCCGCTACCCCAAAGTGCAGGCCCCAAATACTGCTTCTTGTCTGTGCTATCAGCTTGTGTCACCAGGAGAGGGTTTTGAGCAGGGGATGAGGTGGCATTCGACACCTGATCTGACAGAAGGACACATAGCACAGCAGCCAGAGCAGGTGTCGTTACGGCCCTTCCCCTGGAAGCAGTGCTGCAGGTGCAGGTGGGGGCAGGGTCTGGAGAAGCCAGCAAGTCTGCAGCGTGGCTCTGGGCTGCCACTGACCACCAGCCCCATGAGTGACATGCCACTGAGTCTCCCTGCCACCACTTGGAAAATGAAGTTGGACTGGTGACCTCTTCAGAGTCCCTCTAGCTCTACAATTCCGAACATACCGAACGCCGAAACTGCTTCCAGACTGGTCCAAGATGCGGGAGGATGGAGCTCTGAGATGAGGCAAACGAGTTGTGAGCTTGCGTGGTTTCTAAGGTGACACTATGTAAATCGAGAGGCTGCCTTTCAGTGCCAGAATGAAGTTTTGAAAAGTAAAGCATATCACTATTCCTTCCAGATCTTCAAATTTCCAAAGCAAAAATGAGGCTTGAATGTCTGTTTCTTAGTTTGAAAACAACAGACACTACTCCTCAGTTCAGAAAGGACTGGGTATTTCCAGTGACTGCAAGGGGTCACCAGAGGGCTTTGGGGCTTTTTTTTTTCTTCAGAACAAGGGGAGTTTTTTGTTTTCTCTCTCTTTTTTTTTTTCTTTCTAGTTTCATTTATTTGAAAGGCAGAGCAACAGAGAGAAGAAGAGGGAGATGAGAGAAAAAGAGAGAGATCTTTTGTCTACTGGTTCACTTCCCAAATGCCTGGAAGAGCCAGGGCTGGGCCAGGCTCTGGCCAGGAACCTGAAACCCCATGCAGGTTTCCCACATGGTGACAGTGTCATCACCTGCTGCCTCCCAGGGTGCATCAGCAGGAAGCTGGAATGGTAGCCAAGCAGGGACTTGAACCCAGGCACTCAGATATGGGATGTTAGCATGCCACGTGACGCCAAACACCCACCCATCTACAAACTTTCATCTGTCCACATCTCTTCTCTTTGCCTCAGATGTTCTTCATTATGGACATAAAGCATGATAATGTCTAATGTTTTATGAGTTAAGATTTATTACCCCCATTTAAAAAAAGTTAAGTGATTGGATTTTCGCATTTTAAAAATCCCTGTAACTGAGGCCAGTGCTGTGGCGTAGCAGGTAAAACCGCCGCCTACAGTGCCAGCATCCCAAATGGGCACCGGTTCAAGACCTGGCTGCTCTACTTCCAATCCAGCTCTCTGCTATGGCCTGGGAGATGGCCCAAGTCCATGGGCTCCTGCACCCGCGTGGGAGACCCAGAAGAGGCTCCTGGCTTCAGATTGGCACAGCTCCAGCCACTGCAGCACCTGGGGAGTGAACCAGTGGACGGAAGACCTCTCTCTCACCCTCTCTGCCTCTTCTTCTCTGTAACTCTGCATTTCAAATAAATAAATAAATCTTTTAAAAAATTCCTATATCACTTTTAGTTACATGGCATTATTCATGCTTTTCTTTTAAAAATTGTATGCATTAACTGTTGAAATCTTTACTTAGTATAGAGTTGATCTTCTATATTTAAAGATAATTAAAAATGAATCTTAATGAAGAATGGGATGGGAGTAGGAGGTGGGATGGTTTGGGGGTGAGAGGGCAGGTATGGGGGAAGAACTGCTATAATCCAAAAGTTGTACTTATGAAATTTATATTTATTAAATAAAAGTTTTCAAAAAATGGTATGCATTTGAAAGGCAGAGATGGATCGATCTTCCATCCACTGGTTCACTCCCCAAATGTCTGCAACAGCCAGGGCTAGGCAAGGTTGAAGAAGCCAGGAGCCTGGAACTTCACCTGGGTCTCCCCTGTGGGTGGCAGGGACCCAGGCACTTGAGCCATCATCTGCTGCCTCCTAGGATGCATTAGTAGGGAACTGGATCAGAAGTGGAATAGCTGGGACCGGAACCAGGCTTTCCAATATGTGATACGAGCATCCCAAGTGATGACCTAAGCACCGTGCCGCAACAGCAGCTCTGTTAGTCGTTTCTGCTGTGTAATGGATTAACAACAAATAATTAACTTACGGAGTTTACCACCCAGACGAGAAGTCTGGAAACTCTGATATGGAAGCATGGGGTTTGCTCAGGCTGACATGAGTGTGAATATTTCAAAGGGGAGGGTTTCTCTGAGCAGGTCTGTAAGCTGGGATGGAAAAGGTTTCTGAGGAGGCAGGCTGGTTTGTGACGAGAAAGAGCCGTCTTCCAGACTAGATCCTGTCCGAGCAGAGAGAGCAGCTGCCTCCGGGTGGTGAGGTACCCAGGTGTCCACAGAGGGGAATCCAGAACCGAGTGAGGAACAGGCCAGGTGCCTGCATTCCTTTGGCGTTGATTTAAATGAGTAAAAACAACCACTTAACGGCTGCCTTCTTAACATACTTGTTCAGGGTACTGACTTCTATCTTATTTTTTTTCAACTAGGAAAATATGGCACCTCTTCCCTCCTGAAGATACTCCTTTCCTTTATCCGACACGAATCCCTTATGAGGAATCCAGCGTGTTCAGCAAAGTCAATGTTGTCAACCCTGATTTAAAGCGTTTCCCGCAGTTCCAGAAAGCTCAAAGACATGTGGTTACGCTGAGCCCAGGACAGGTAACTGCGCTTTAAAACAGGTTGCCCACCAGTGGACACCACAGCTGTAACTTGCTCACGTTCTTTGTTGTGTACCCCCAACCACCCCTCTAACTCAGAACGGTTTCCTTCCCCAGCTGTAGCTTCAGACACACACCCCTCCCCTCGCAGGTTCTGGAAAGGAGATGGGAAGAGGCAGCACAGCTCCTCCTACTGGTGAAGAGAATGGGTTGAGAGGAACAATGAGCACTTAAGCCCTTTGCATTCAGATTAAGAGAAGGTGCCCAGACAGGGTAACAGAGCACCGCTGGAATCCTGATCCACAGTTACTGTCTGTTCAACTACGATAGAACCGAAACCACGTGGTTACATGCGGGTTGAATGCGTCCAGGTAGTGGCCGACACGGCCGACACAACCGAAGGAATCAAGGGCGGTCGCTTTTAAGCAAGGATGGACATTGCTGTCATAAAGGACCATTTCCAATACACTTTCCAGGGTGCTGTGCTTCACGCGCTGCCAGGTGGAGACAGTTTGTTTTATAACATTGGTCCTTGCTGTCCGACACTTTATTAATAATTTGAAAGATTTTCTTAGTCTCTTAAGGAGCCTGGATTCCCTGCGACTCCTCTGCCCGTCTTCCTTCCACTGCCTCCTCCTCACAGACTGCCTGCTTGCGTCCTGCTCAGGACCCACAATCTGACCTGCTCAGCTCAGACGATCTGACCTGACTGGGTTGCCTCAGCCCCCAAGTAGTCACTCCCGATGCATCCCCAGGCTCCAAGCACCATGAATCTGTTTTCTCTCTAGATTTGTCCATTCTGCACATTTCACTTAAAATATGTGGCCTTTTTTGTCTGACTTCTACATAGCACAGTACTTTCATGGGTCATTCATATTGTAGAATACTATCAGTACTTCATTTCTTTGTGTGGCCGAAGAATGTTCCTTTGGATGGAACTGTGAGACATTTGTTTATCCATTCCTTAGCTGGTGGACGTTTGGGTTGTTTCTACTTTTTGGCTGTCATGAATAATGCTGCTGTGAACATTCCTGTACAAGTGTTTGTTTGAGTCTGTGTTTTCAGTTCTCTTGTATGTATACTTAGGAGTGGCATTGCTGGGTCACAAGTGAATTCTGTTGTCCATTTTCCACAGTGACTATACCATTTTTATATTCCACCAGTGATGCATCAGGCTTCCATTTTCTTTACATCCTTCCAACATCTGTCATTTTCCTTTAAAAATTGTTATTTTTGTTAATTTGAGAGAGAGAGAATGCACATGTGCTCCCATCCACTGATTCACTCTCTAAATGCCTGCAACAGCTGGGGCCTGAAGCCAGCAACCAAGGACTTGATCCAGGCCTCCTGTGTGGGTGGCAGGCACCCAATGACTTGACTCATCACCGCTGCCCTCCAGCTGAAATCAGGAGCCAGAGGCGAGCAGGACAGCCAGGTCTGTCTTAACCTCCAGGCCAAATGCCTGTCCCTGCTGTCCTTTTTTTTAAAAATCATTATCCTTATAACCATTCAAGTGGATGTGCAGTGGTTGTAACTTTTTTCTTCTATCTTTACAGCCAAGTTCGGGTGAATGGTTTTATCTATTATACGAGTTTTTCTTACGTCCTGTCCATTCCTTAATTCTGTTCCCTGTCTCACCACTTTCCTGAAACTGTACTCCATGATAGGATGTTCGTGACTTCCTAGTGACTACATCTAGTGGCTATTTTAATGCCCAGTTCTCCTAACGGGCATTCTTTTCCCGTCTCAGACCCGCCTTGTTCAGAACTAAGTGCACCTACTTTGCTAAATTTGAAGCCTGAAAGCTTCATATCATCTCCAGGATTGCTGCACCCGCTTCCAGAGGAAGTCGCTCACTGAATCTGGCTGGGTTCCTGCCTTCTTCACTCTGCCCATTTCTGTTCTGTACTCTGCCTTCCTCCTTAATGTTAACAGTTAATAATTGGAGCATTGCAAGAATCTCTCTTAATGCCACTATTTTAAACAGCCCCTACTCAGTTCCTGTGAGACTTCTAATGCCACAGGATGAAGTCCAGATTCTGTCTTCTGAACTCAGGGCCCCCCGATGACCCCCACTAATGGCAGCCTTTCACTTGTCTCCTGGTACTTCCGCCATGGTGGTGGTGAGCCTGACTGCTGGATACCCCTGCACAGCCCTGCCTTGGTGGCCTGCCCCACCTCTCCTTCCAGGTGTGGCCTTGTTCTTTTCTCTGCCAGAATCCCCTCTTAGCTCTCACTCAAGTGACATTTCCTCCACTTAGGTTGCCCCTGACCTCGTTCACGTCTGCTTTGTCTGCCCGTGAACTTCTCCAGCATCACATGTCCACTGGTTGGCCACTTTTCCGCATTTTGCCTTCTCGTTAGCTAGATCTTGAACTGGGAGGGGACAGAAACCCTGCTGTAATTTCAGCAGTGCCCTTTCTCAAAGTACATAAAACTTTTGTGCTGGAGAGAAAGAAAAATTAGGATTTCAGAATCCTGTACTAAGATTTAGATGCAGGCAGGGAGGGCCTAGGATTAAGGGGAGTAAAGAAGTGAGTTTATGCTTTGTAGGATATGCAAGTTTGTCAGTAAGAAAGGAGTAAAAGGAAAAAAAGTGTGGGGTTTTCCTGCTTCCTTTTTCCCTTTCCTTTGTTTTTTAAAAAGACTTATTTATCTGAAAGAGTTACAGAGAGAAAGAGAGAGATCTTCTGGTTCACTCCCAGATCTACTGGTTCACTCCTCACATGGCTACAATGGCCAGGGCTGAGCCAGGCCAAGCCAAAGCTAGGAGCCTGGAACTCCATGCAGGTCTCCTACGTGGGTACAGAGACCTAAGGAATTGGGCCATCCTCCACTGCTTTCCCAGGCACATGAGCATTGAGCAGGGTTGGAAACGGAGCAGTCAGCACTCAAACTGGCACCCATGTGGGATGCCGGCATCCCAGGCCATGGCTTAACCCGCTGCACACGGCACCAGCCCCTTTGCTTCCCTTTTCTTTGGCTGTATTATTGTGAGTTCACTTGTATTCCTTATTTTCCTAGTGGCCTCGGTGAGGTCTGATTCTGACATAACAATGAAATATCCTGTTCTTGTGCTAACCGCTTTTTGGTTTGGTTTCCAGGTTCTGTTTGTTCCCAGGCACTGGTGGCATTACGTGGAATCCATCGATCCTGTCACTGTCAGTATAAACTCATGGATTGAGCTGGTACATTTTTTTTTTAAATAAATGTAATCTCTACTTTTAAGATACACAAAGTCTGTGCAAAACTTGTAGAACACTCTAGTAATACTTTGTTTTGCTGTATCGTAATTACATGTTCTAGCCTCTGTTGACGGATATGTAGGTTGGAAATAGGGATTTTAGTGATGAGTCACTCCCTTTGTGCTCAGAACACACAATGGGCCCTGATGTTGGCTTGCAGGGGCCTCTCTCTTGACGATTGTTGTTAGGAAAATTATGTTGAGCTTGGCCGGATCTGTGTGTCCCAGGTGCCAGTCCGTCCCCCACCATCTGGGCTGGGCATATCTGCTTCTTGGTTCAGGGTCCCCATTACCAATTGCAGAATTCTCCCTCTCGACGCGTGCATCTTCTCAAGGCAGCCTCTCAGTGCTAGGTTTGTGCCTCGTTTCTCCCATAGGCCTTTCCCTCCAGTATGCTGTGCTCACTCCTGGTTGCCGGCTCTATTTATGATAATGCCAAGAGCTGCCCATTTTGCTCACATCTGTCGCTTCAGCCCAAGGCTTTAATTATATCTGTGCTGTCTTTGGCCAGAAGCTTTGATTGCACCTGTGCCCTCTCTAACGCGGGGCCCTGATTGCGCCTCGCCTCTCCTGAACCCAAAGCTATGATTGCCTCTCTCAGCCCTCTGGCAGCTGCACCCTCCCCTCAGTCAGGTTTCTGCTATCCTCTGGCTATGGAAGGGCTTTGGAAGAGGAAGAATCTATGGGATATCGTAACAGGAAGTGGCATCGTGTGAGTTAAGAAAAGAGACGAGTTGTAGCCCCTGGGGCTTCAGTGAAAAGTAAGGAGGGACACCAGTAGACTTACTGTTAGAATCTGCTTATAGCATGCTGCGCTGGGACTGGAGCAGATGTCAAGGAGGCGTCCACCACCTCCCCCGGGGCCAGATTGGCGTCTGCAGTAGACCTGAAAGATGCGTCACCTCCCAGGGAAGCCCATTCATGTCTAAACAGCATCTGCCTTCTTGTAATCCTATCCATTATTTTTAAACTGCATAGGTTTTTTCCCTTCTAAAATAATTTTCTTCCTCCAAGTTCAAAACCTCTAGTTTCTTCCATGTTTTTTTTTAAGCACCTTTAATTTCTAGGCTGTCCACCTTTAGTGGACATAGACTTTGGAATCAGGCCAACTTAGATTATAGGTGGCCTTTAGTAGCTGTCTAACCTAAGTAGTTTCTTAATCTTGTCAAGCCTCAGTCCTCAGTTGCTGTGAGGTGGAGAGCTACTGGGTCAAGAACAGCCCTCTTAATGTTTAGCACCTAAAACTGAATAGCACTGGGCCTTATTTGGTAGAGCATGATTCCTCCTTCCTATGAATTAGATACTGAGTTTCTTCAGTCATGTTCATTATACTGCATTCACCTGTTCAGTAAGCTTGTCTCATTTGGGTCATATTCAGCTCTGAAATAACGGTGCTTTTCTGCACACAATGCTGTCATGTCAGGTTGTCCCCTGTCCTGTACCTGTGACACTGATTCTTCTTTTTTTTTTTTTTTTAAATAAGATTTATTTTGTTTACTTGAAAGGCAGAGTTACAAGAGAAAGAGGGGGGAGAGAGAAAGAGAGAGAGATCTTCCATCTTCTGGTTTGGAGCTGCATCGGAAGTGGAACAGCTGGGATTCAACTGGTGCCCACGTGGGATGCTGGCATCATAGGTGGCAGCTTTACCTGCTATGCCACAATGCCGACCCCTGAAGTTGTTTCTTTAAGGCTAAATCCAACACTTCACAGTCATCCCTGGTTGGCTGAGCTTTCCTGACTAAAATTCTGAGTTTCTGTCTCATTTGTGCTTTAATGCAATGTCTTCAAGCTTCCTGATGCACTTTTGCTGCATCCTTAGTAGTGAGTCTTTCAGTGAGTCCTAGGGGTCTGGTACAAAAAGAAACCTCTGCTCCACACTCAGAAGCCAATTGTTGCTCCCTTTTAATGAGGAATGGCTTTAGAAACCAAGGTCTAGGCTCCAAGCTGCTCACTGCTACTGGGGTGGCATTGTTTCTAGGTTCTTAGAATGATTTAGCTAAAGTGTAATGTAAGGTAGACAGATAGACAAGTATTACTATATTTCTAATTCACAATTAATGTTATAGGGTTTTTTCCTTATTTGTTTCTGCATTTTTATCTCCCACACTGAGTCCTTATCTGGGTCCTTAATAGCAGTAAAATGTTTACTTACTTGCTTTATCTAGTAATACATTTTTTTTTCATTTTTTTTTTAAATTTATTTAATGAGCATAAATTTCCAAAGTACAGCTTATGGACCACAATAGCCTCCCCCCCCCCCCCCCCGTGTCTTCCCTCCCATCCACAATGCTCCCCTCTCCCACTCCCTCTTCCCTTCCCCTTCACATCACAATTAATTTTCAATTATCTTTATATACAGAAGATCAATTTAGCGTATGTTAAGTAAAGATTACCACATTTTGCTCCCACACAGAAACATAAAGTGTAAAATACTATTTGAGTACTAGTTATAGCATTAATTAAACACCTAAGAGTAATTGTGTATTAATTACAGAGCTCAACCAATAGTTTTAAGTAGAATATAAAATGCATCTTTTGCATTGTTGTGGCTTCCCCCCGACCTCCCTCCCTCCCGTGGCCCTCCCCTCACCCACTTCCTCTCCCCTCTCCCCCCTTCATCACGTTTCATTTTCGGTTACCTTCATATACCGAAGATCAATTTAGTATATACTAAGCAGGGATTTCAACAGGTTGCACTCACACAACCGAACCAGGTATAGGGTATTGTTCGACTAGTAGTGTTGTTTTTGAGTTTCATAGATAAACATATTAAGGACAGAGATCCTGCGAGGGGAGCATGAACCCAGTGACTCCGTTGTTGATTTAACAATTGGCACTCTTATTTATGACGTCAGCAATCTCCCGAGACTCTTGCTATGAGCTGTCTAGGCTATGGAGGCCCCTTGAGTTCAGCAACTCTGAATTTGTTTAGTCAAGGCCATATCACAGTGGAGGTTCCTTCCTCCCTTCAGAGAAAGGCGCCTCTCTCCTTGATGGCCTGATCCTTCTGCTGGAGTGTTGTTCACCAGGATCCTTCATTTAGATTGTTTTTTGCCACCGTGTCATGGCTTTCCATGCCTGCGAGACTCTCATGGACCTTTTAGTCAGATCCGAATGTCCCAAGGGTTGATTCTGAGGCAGGAGTGCTGTTTTGGGCATTTGCCATTCTATGAGTCTGCTGTGTGACCTGCTTCCCCCGCAGGATCATTCTCAACCCTTTTGATTCTATCTTTCATTATTTGCTTACTCTGGTCTTATTTGTGTACTCTCTTCGACACTTACCCTATCTCTTGGATCAGTTGTGTATTTATATTTGTCTCTTTACCAAGTGTGCTGGCATTGGTACCTGCCTCCTTGGTAAGATTGAGTTGAAATCCCCTGGCACATTTCCAGTTCCGCCATTGGAGGTAGGTCTGATTGAGTATGTGCCGTCCTATATATCTCCTCCCTCTCTTATTCCCACTCCCATGTTCCACAGAGATCAATTTCCTATTAATTTTTAAACGCTTAAGAATGGCTGTGCATTGATTGCAGAGTTCAACCAGTGGTCTTGTGTAGAGCATACCGAGCAACAACAACAACAACAACAAAAATACTAAAGGAACAAAATAGTAAGTTTTTCCTCAACAGTCTAGACAAGGGCTGCTCATGTCATTGTCTCTCATAGTGTCCATTTCACTTCAATGGGTATCATTTTAGGTGCTTGTTTAGTTGCCATCAATCAGGGAGAACATGTGATATTTGTCCCTTTTGGACTGGCTTATTTCACTCAGCATGATGTTTTCCAGCTTCCTCCATTTTGTTGTGAATGCCCGGATTTCGTTGTTTTTTACTGCTGTATAGTGTTCCATAGAGTACATATCCCATAGTTTCTTTATCCAGTCATCCGTTGATGGACATTTAGGTTGATTCCATGTCTTAGCTATTGTGAATTGAGCTGCAACAAATATTGAGGTGCAAATGGCTTTTTTCACCCCTTTAATTCCATTTGGGTATATTCCAAGGAGTGGGATGGCTGGGTCCTGTGGTAGTGCTATGTTCAGGTTTCTGAGGACTCTCCAGACTGTCTTCCATAGTGGCTTTACCAGCCTAGTAATACATTTTTATGATGCCAAATTTATAGTTAAAATTCCAATTCTGGTATCACTACTAACCATAAAGCTTACAAATAAAGTTTAAGATTTCCTTGCAAATCTTTTTATCATTAGACTATATCCCATTTGGGGGGGGGGTACAAAGTATTTCTTCAGAAGTCATTGTGAAGGAACTCTTTTCATGTGTTGCTAATTTCATGTTCCAGAAAGTTCATGTATTTCAGTTTGATTTTACTTTTAAGGGTTTTTCCAGATGTGATATAATTTAATATTTTGAATATTTAAAACATTCAGCTTTTCCAACTGTACGAAAACATATCTCTCAGAGAGGTCTCCCTTCCTCCCTGTACCCACCACCTCTCCCAGACTCTAAAAGGATCCACTTGGATATTTCGGTTCAGTCTCATCTTTCTCAGTTACAGACGGTGCCGGTGAATAACCCTGTGCACGTGCTGTTTTAACTTGTTAAAGTGAGTCTCGGGGATTCCTTAAAGGGAGTAAATGTATACTGAGTTTTCTGAGGTTCTGCTAGATTCCACTTCTTCACCGCTGAATCGTCAAGCATCTGCAAGATGAGAGTGCTTGTTTCTTCCAAGGCCTCACCAACAGCATGTGTTGTTGAACTTTATTGTTGGGATTTTGAGTCGCGGTTAGGAAGATTTTTCCCTTTTCCAGGTCATAAAGGAACTCACTGACGTTTTCTTGTCGAGTTTGGGTTGTTTGGGTGTTTCATCGGCATTTGGACGTCCACTGGCGGGTGCTCCTCACGTGTGGTGTAAGAGTGGTGTTGCTGGTCTGCAGAGGGTGTGTTTTCTACGTCTCGCCCCAGAGCACTCCACCCTCAGAGTCTCCGCACTTGGAGTTGTCAGATCCATTTTGATCAGTTTCCTAAGTTTCTTAATTTGCATTCCCCTAGAGGTCATATGCTTATTAGCCAAATGATTCTCTTTCTGAAATGCTTATCTTAATGTATTTTGCTCATTACAAAAATCCAGTCATTTGTCTTGCTGGTTTGCATAGATTATTTGTATAATCTGAATATTAACCTTTCATTAATTATAAGTTTTACAAACATCTTGTTTTTTTTCTTTTATGGTATTTTTTGGTGAACAGAAGTTGTTGATTTTGGTGTAATCACTCATGCTATAGTTTATACTTATTTACATTTCAGAAAGCCATGTTTAGATGGTTAACCACCTCATTCTTATAGCCATGCATGCTTATTAGAATTTTCCTCCTATTGCTCAAATGATTTTCTTGTCAAACTATGTAGGGATTATTCCTCCATATACAATACTGTTTTTCAGAAAATGCAAGCATATCAAAGCATGGGGAAGATTGGGGAAAACACCCCAGGTTTTATATCTGATAGATTCAGAGAATACATACCTGGATTTGGCTGGTAAGCTGTTCTATAACTCTTCTAGACGGCAGATGATAGTGAATACAGCAAAATTATGGGTTTGCCAATAGCATGCACTCATCCCTTCTGAAACAAAAATTATATTGATGCCAGAGAATGGAACAGAGAGTTAAATAGAGACTCTGTGGTCTGTGTCAAGCCATGAGACACAAAGGCAAATGATTGAAATGTGTTTTTATCCCAACTTAGGAAGAGGACCACCTGGCCCGGGTGGAAGAGGCAATCACCCGCGTGCTCGTGTGTGCCCTGAAAACCGCAGAGGACCCTCGCAACCCCAGGGCCTGGTTAAACCCGACGGAGGTAGGCTGCGTCTGGCTGTCGTCACAGCGCTCTGCTTCCTGCACTGAGGCAGCCCTGGCCAGAGCGTCTGGCTTCCAGTTTAACTGAACATGCGTAACCATGGTAAAGGGTTTTCTCTTTCTTTAGGTTGAGGAAATATCCCACGAAGTCAATTGTCACTACTTAAATGGAGCCGTGTCTGCCTTCCTGGAGCATCATAGAGCATCCAGGGAGACAGAAGGCCAAGCATTGCAAACAAATGGGAAGCACAGGAAAAAGGAAGAATTACACATGTGCAACCACGTGGAGGTAGAACAAACATGTAGCCCAAACGTGAACAAACACAGAGCCACAAAACAGAAGGCAGTGGACCCTTTTGGCCCCAACTTGGTCGCTGTCACACTGCTAACCGAAGAACCACCGTCAGAAAGGGGAGGCGTAGTGGAAGGTGATGGTAAAGGCTTTGTTGACAAGGATGGAGAAGGCTTTGGACAATTGCATGGCACCAAGTGGGAACAAGTGCCGAGCAGAGGTGAGACCGTGTCTGCGGAACACGTGGCCTCCAGCAGCACCGCAGCCGTGACCGCAGCACTCGTGACTACTGACGACCTGCTGGACTGCGTGGTGAACCCACAGGTGACCAGGATGGTGGCACAACTTCTACTACAAGGAAGAAATTTGTGATTCTGTTGGATGACATTTTAAATAATATTTTAAAAATATATATTTTTAAATAAGGTGATTTTCAAATAAAAGAGCAGCAAAAGGTCCATTTGCTCGTGTTTGTAAGTGCATTTATTCCCTAGTTAAATTCAGTCTACTGCCATCTCTCATGTGCGGTGCTCTCGGGCCACGCGGGCTCCTTCTTGTTTGGCAGCCTTCTTTCCTTAGTGCCTTTGCCTTTCCCCCCTCTCCCAAAGTGTAAACCCCAAGTGTTCCCAGCAAGAAATCATCTCCAGCCTCAACCAGGGCACAGCCTGCTGCTTGTTTTTATAAATGAAGAGTTATCAGAACACAGCGAGACCATCTGTCTATGGTGGCTTTGGGATTACAGTGACAGAGTTGAGTGGCGACACTGCCTGGCCCAGAAAGCCGACAACTCCCAGTCCTGGGAGTGAAGACTCCATGGCACTGACTCCTGAAACAATGATTAAAAGCTTGATTTAGTGAAACTGGTCCCACTCTCAGTACATTTGCAAGATCGGAGAGTAACTATTATTATTACTGTGCAAGAATTTGGAAATTAGAAAAGCTCATTGACCTTTGAGTAACCATACATTAAAATGGATACACAACAGAAAAGATATACAAGGTCTCTTTTTGAGATGAACTGACTGATGATGATTCCTGAGAACTGGGTCAGGCCAGGGTCGCCCGGACAACCATCCTGCACTGATCACTACATATTTAACCTATTTATTTGGGTATTGTCTGTCTCTCCCAACCAGAGTGTAGCTCCTGGGAGTAAGCACTTCTTATTACTGTGGTATTCACGGAGCCTTGATCATTGCTCAGCACATGATAGAGTTCATTAAATAGTAGCTAAACAGGTGATTAAAAAAAAGAGAGAGAGAGACCTTGTTGGCAGTACTCCTTCAAGTACATTGGGGCAGAGGATGTCTGCTGCTCTTACTAGATATACCTATTCCTGTGGAAGAAATAGACATATCTTTCCTCCAGGTATTTTATTTTTATTTATGTTTGACATGCTAGGACCCTTTAGTCATAAAATCATTTCAGTGGGAGAGATCAGTATGGGAAAGAATGGAATATGATACTCTCAAAGTAAATATCCAAATTATATATGGAAAATTTCAGTGAATTCCAGGTATAGGGATTATTTTGTGAAACTTTTTAGGAAAATATTTCAGGGTAAGTATACGTCACGAAACCTTCCCGCTGTATCTGTGTATACTGAGCCTGGTATAAAACTTACTTCTCTTCTCTGTTCTTGGAGTCAGAAATTTGAAAGCCATCCTGAGAGAAAGCATTTCATTGAATTAAAGGTAATAGTCTTTGACATGCAGAGACCTGGAAGAGAGTTGACGTGGCATAAATGGATTTCTAAGTGTAATCGGTGATGGGAGATAATTTCCTGAGGTTACATAGAAAGAGATTTTGATATAAGAAGAGACTCTGGCTATTTGCAAAGGGGGACTGAGAACCGAGAATAAAAGGGGGAGGCTGTGAGCACCGGGGCAGCCGGGCCCCACGCCATCCTGTACTTTACAGGTGAGCACGCCAGAGTATGTGCAGCCAACTGTTAAAGAGCTCCGTTGAGCTTCCAGAGACCAAAGGAGTTAGAGGATACAAGCTCAGCCTTGTGTACATCCATCTCTCAAAATCGGAGAAAAACAATTATAATCCACCTTTGATTGCTTTCATGTTTAAGTCAGCACAGTTGCAAAGTGCAATTTTTAATATCATTTATGTAGTACGAGGCCCACAAAGGCAAAGTGCCTGGGAGCCACGGAAGTCCCGTGGCTATGGCTGCCAGGGCTGTCAGGACCTTTTGAAGCGCCAGCTGGAAGTGGAATTCCTGGGCGCCACACAGCGCTACACCATCCGACTCCTTCGGAGTGGGACCAAAACTTCAGTTTCAGCAAACATCCCTAAATGATGCAAATACAAAATGAGTTTAAGACCTGCCCAGGCTCAAAATGGGGTTGTTTGGGGACCAACACTGTCGCATAGCAGGTAAAGCTGCTGCCTGTGACACTGGCATCCCAGATGGACGCCAGTTCGAGTCCCAGCTACTCTATTTCCTATCCATCTCTCTGCTATGGCCTGGGAAAGCAGAGGATGGCCCAAGTGCTTGGACCCCTGGGAGAAGCTCCTTGCTCCTGCTTCAGCCTTGCACAGCCCGGATCATTGTGGCCATTTCGGGAGTGAACCAGCAGATGGGAGATCTCTCCATCTCTCTCTAAATCTACCTTCCAAATAAATAAAATAAATCTTTAAAAGGGTGGGAGGCCATATTTTAGTCAGGACTACTTCCTGGGGTCAGTTTGCCCTTCAGATTTGCTAAACTATCCTTATACTGCACCCATCCGTAATTTTCAAACACCAGGAGTCTAAGAATCCCTTGATACTATCGCACTTTGTTGTGAGTTGTTAGACTTTTTTTGTTTGCTGCTTTTCCAGCAGAGGCATGTGTTTATCATTAAGCTCCCTTGTTTTGCCCTTTAGGATAAAAATATTTACTTCCAAGTGACATTGTTCAAGTATTTTATTTGAAAAAGGGGAACTGAACATTTGACATGGTTCTTTGGATTGTAACATATATGGACTTCATTGACATTATTCTTCAGTGCAACACACCATGTTCAGCCTTGCCCTGAGTTAAGCAAACCATTGGAGAACAAAAACGAAGGAGAGGTGCCTTTGTTATTCATTTCTTACACTCACTGTCCTTGATACCAGCGGCTAGGAAACCACTCCTAAGCAATAAAAAGTGGTTGCCCACCCGCTTGAAGAACAGTAACAGCAAAAGGAATTCGGAGACCCCTGTGTCGTTGAAGCAGCAGCAGATAGTAGTAGCCGCGGAATGAGCCACCTGGGCTGGCTCTGCGTCAGTTTTCTTGGCCCAAAGCGCCTCAGCTGAAGAAACTACAGTGGAAACAAAAGCCAGAAGGAAAAAAACTCTGGCAATTTGGGGGCATCCACAGGCTGTCTGAATCCAGAGGCCACCTGCAGTAGTGTTCCCCACCTTACAGGGATCAAGATTCAGTGCCAGCGGCTGTGAGGATTCCTGCCAGGGTGACCTCAGGCAAGAAAGCTTCTGGCACCCTGAGCATGACCCCCCTACACTTTGAAATGCAGATGGAATTCTTAGCCACAGGACAGCAGGGTGGGGATGGGGGTGGGGAGGTGGTTAGGAACACTGCAGGTCAATGCACCTGTTATACTACTTGGTACGATCTAGGAGCTCAATAATGGTGTTTGCATCTGAAACTTACAAAACAATTGTTCTTTACCATCCAGGGGTAGGTTTAGCAAATGAGCAATATGACTGCTTAATTCTTTTGGTTTATTTATACTGGCAACTTTAGAATCATCAAAAAGCTAGACTGCCAAAATACACTATTTAATAACCTTAGAGTCCATTTAATCTTAGCACAATCAGAGGTTTCACATTGAAGGTGTAATAGGCACTATTCTGTTGTCAGTGGGGCAAGTAGAGAGCAGTGAGTAGACACGTTCTAGAAGGCACTGAGAACCTGCACAGTTCCATGGGACAACACCAGCGAAATCCCAGCCCCTGCAGTCCCAGAGCCCTGGCCACAGAGTTCCCACGCACATGTCATGGGCTAGCTGGTGAGGGAAGCTCTTCGATTTGAGCCAAGGTGACAGTAAGTCAAGTATATCAAAGAGATGATTCACACTTTGAATAGGAGTCTGGGCTACTTCATTCTTAATTAAGCAAACATTTATGGAGCACCTGTTGTACATCACAGACCTCAGCCCAAGGACCAAATGTCAACAAGGCGTCCTGCATGCCCCAGCAAAGGCAGCAGGCCAGCCCGCTTGCTAGCACACTGTGCTGCCCACAGCCCTGTGGTATCCTGACGCGATGCCAGCCCTCTCCTTCAGCACCTGGAATTGCATGGTTGCAGCCTTGTAATTCTCTCCTTCCCCAAAACAGACACCTGTTCTTTTCCCACACATTTGATGTCCTCAGTTGAGGGCCCAGACTTGTATCTAGATTATCCGATCTAAATTCTCAAAAAGAGAAGCTGAAGAAAGTCCGATCTCAGTGGTAATGAATGCAGGGGGGCTCCTTTAGTCTTTGAAAACACTGTGAAGGGGGGTAGAGCTAAAACTCGTTTTGTAACAGGGCGAATAATGGCTTTGAGGGTGAGTTCCAAGATGTCATCTAAACGTAATGAGGTACTCTGGATACGCCTGGTAGTCATAGAAGACCACAAACAGACTTGGGTTGTTCACATTGTCTGTGACCGAATCGTACAGATCTGTCACATTTTGAGGGTTCTTCGGAGGAGGCACAATGTAGGAGGACTGCCCACAGGTGTAGATGCCGGTAAGTACTCGTACGTAATACATGTGCTTTCTCCCATTTCTGTCTGGTTTGGAGTATGTATTATTGGCAGAGTAACTGGCATCGACAGCGAAGTAAGTTCCCTTTCCATATGCCACAGCTGTGAAGAGAAAAAAATTTTGTAAGAATTCTAGTAGAGTGTATAATCAGGCACACGGGTCCAACAGGTCAATATTTTTAAAATTCTGCTTATAAAATTTTTCTGTGTTTTTCATCTTTAAAAAAAAATCAGTGTTTCCACTCACAGGGCCACTCAGTCCCCTGTGGAGATGAAGTAGAGTGAGTCTGGCCCTGAACCTCGGGCTGCAGCAGGCCACCAACCACAGGGGATACAAGGAGTGCACATTCTCTCTCACCAGCTCAGGGTCTCCCGGCTGACGCCTCCTGGGAACAGCCACACTCCTCACTTCCTTACCGTTCTTCCCAGCGTAACTGCGGTTAAAGCCATTCCCATTGACATGTGGCAAGGAGTCAGCATCTGTCCCATGGAAGAGGAGCTTCTCATTGTTCGTCTGGCCATTCTTGGAATCCATGGCTTTTTTCTTTACCTGGTAACTATTCCAGAGATACGGATTCTGTATCCTCTCAATCTGCAAATTAATAAAAATATTCTGCCAGTGCCAAGAGCACTTGCCAAGATACAGCAAATGAAAGACAATCGCTATTTTTTCATAAATAGACTTTACAGTAAATAGCAAATTCAGTGTCAGATG